CCCCCTCTCACTCTCTCATTACAGAATGTAACATCTAGATCTTCACCCAGACTCCTGTCTGGTTTCCTGCTATGGTTTTAAAGAAAGAGTGCAAGCATCCAGGTAATAATCACTCAGTAAAGACACAAAGCCAGTCTGAAAGGTGTTTTATTCTGGATTTTTAATGGTATAATAGATTTCATTTTACATTATAGATTCATTCTAGTAATTCATAAAACAACACTATTTACTGTCATCTATATTCCACTTGACACAAACATATAAATCTATATTATTGCTGCTTCTGACAAAGAATAGCCTTGGCTAAAAGTATTTCAGTTGATTTCCAGAACAACAGTTTTTAAGTGTTTCTTCTGCAAATTGCTACTTTAGTGCAATATGTTTCCTGAATGACCGCCTGCATGTTTATCACTGGATCAACGGCAAATTTTCCTGTCAAATTAACTTGTGAAGGAAACAGTAGGTGATTTGTAAAAACAAGTGTTTATCAATCCTAAGATTGTTCCCATGTTTAATCCAAAGTAATTCTAATGGAAATGGTTATCATAAAACACTGTTGGAGCTTAACAAATACATGTAATAATAATTTCTAGACAAGAAATCATTATGCCACATAGACAATCCTCCGAGATATGAATTGGCTACAAGGAACTCTCCAAGCCCCGACTCCTCCAACTCCTTCTGCAAATTACCCTGAGAACCTGCAGACAGTTGGTAAGTCCACAGGACATGGAGAGTTCTGGCAACTGAAAGGATCAAATCCTCTCCCTCTTACTGTACCTCACTTCAGTGTACAATCAACAAGAGGTGGGAGGATAAGGGAGGAACCAGCTGCACGCCTCACCATCACTGAAGCTGCCTGGGTTCCTCTCTTCCCATAAAGGTTTTCAGAGGTTGTACCTGTTGTTTTACTATGTATTTTGGTTTTCTTTGGCTAAGATTGCACCTTGTTCTAACGCTAAACATTACATTTACTTCCTCTAAGTAGTCAGCAGGTCTGACTGCACTATTTTCCCTGTAAATATTTGTGACTAATCAAGTTCTGTGTTGGCATAACCATTTACTGCTATTCACTGAATGCCAAAAAAACAGAAAGCTGCCATAGATTTGCTTAAAGATTTTATTGAACCATAAAAAGAAACCAAACCAAAAACCATCAAGCAATTTATGCAAGCTACTGAACTGGTAGTCCATGACTCCAAAGTAGAACCAGAATTGCATTCAAATTGGTACTTAATTCAACAAAGTCTGCCATCACTCCCCCTAAACCTCATGTGAGACAAAACACATCATGTACCTTAGAAGACCCTTCCCCTCAGAAGTTTTTATAAATACATCAAATAGGCGATTCCAAGCTTTGAAACAGCGTATGTTGCACATAATCTGACAGTCCACAAAACAACATATGCCTTACCAAGCAAATACACATTAAAATCACCATGTGTAGCATAGAAGTGAGAGCATATGGCATCTCTAATTTCCCTTACTTCCCTTGACCCTGTTCCTTTATTGTTTATGAGGTTACTTTGTAGTTGTGGGAATTGGCTTAGTCTTAGTTCATGCAAAAATACTCATCACTGGCTCTTACAGCCATTGTGCAGAGCACAGCAGGTCACAGCAAAATGCAATTGTCATCCAAGAGATTTTGCGGGTACTGTTATCTGGTCTTCAGGTATCCAAATATACTTTCCACCAACTTCTGTGATCACTAACATGGTTCTGTTCAGCCCTATGTTGTCTGTGTCCAGCTTCAGAAGCCATGGCAGTTAAGATAGGTGGGTTCCCATAAAATGGTGGTGCCTACCTGTACACTGTTGACTACTGTGTCATGGAAGAATAAGGATTTAACTTGTCCAAATGTGACAGAACTTTGTACACCTTTCTAGTGCTTTCCACATCAGTTCATGAACCTTCCCCTGTGGCCCACCGAGCTTTGCAGCACCTGGGAGTAGGACCACTTGCAGTTAGCATATTCAGCAGCTTCTTTAGGGGGCATGCTATGGAAACATAATCCTTGTTGGGAAATGCAATTATCTGAAAGCCACTTTGATTTAAGGTACATTCCTGACACTGACAACAGCAACCAAGGAGTAAGCAGTTTTCATAACAGCAGTGCAAACCCCCGCCATCTCCAGCCTGACAGCTGGCTTCCAATGCTAAACTGGTTAGACTCAGATCTGTAGTAGTTCTTGAACAGCCAGTTTCCAAACCACAATAGCAACCTATTTCCCTATAGCTAATGACTGCCTTAGTCATAGAATCATAGAAAATTAGGGTTGGAAGGGACTTCAGGTCATCTAGTCCACCCCCCTGCTCAAAGCAGGACCATCTCCAGCCAAAGCTTTGTCTAGCCAGGTCTTAAACACCTCCAAAGATGGAGAGTCCACAACCTCTCTCAGTCATAGGCTTTGGTCCCAGAGGGTTATGGCACATTCCCCACTTAGGTCCATAAAGGTTTCCTTCTTCCTGTGGAAGTTCCAAGCCACTGCTGGTCATCCATTGTTCTCAAAATTATATGATATGATCTTGCCACACTGATTCATAGATAGTAAGGCCAGAAGGGACCTCAGAAGATCATTGAGTCCAGCCCCCTGCACCAAGCAGGCAAGACAACCGGGGTCAGGTGACCGCAGCAAGGTGACAGTCCAGTCTCCTCTTCAAGATTTCCAGGGTAGTTGATGGCACCACCTCTGCACGGAGCTTATTCCACAGTCTGGACACCCTAGTAGTGAAGTAGTTTTTCCTAATGTTGAGCCTGAAATGGTCTTCCAGGAGTTTGTGACCATTACTCCTAGTTTTCCCCAAGGGTGCCATGGTGAACGGTTGTTCACTGAGCCCTTGATGTACACCTCTGATGTAGTGGTAAACTGCTACCAAGTCCCCTCTCAGCCTTCTTTTTTTCAGGCTGAGGAGTACCAGATACTTCAGCCTTTCCTTGTATGGCTTGCCATGCAAGTCTTTGATTGCACTGGTGGCCCTTCTCTGGACTCTCAAGCTTTACCACGTCCCTGTTAAAGTGCAATGCCCAGAACTGGATGCAGTACTCCAGCTGCGGTCTCAACAATACCAGCTGCAGTGGGAGAATCACTTCTTTGGTTTTGCTGGAGATGCACTGATTGATGCATGGCAAGGTATTGTTATCCCTGCTGGCTACAGCGTCGCACTGCCGGCTCATGTTCATACTATGGTCCATTATTACACCCAGGTCCCTTTCATTTGTAGTGCTTATTAGACCCCAACCCCACGTGGTGCCCAACGACTAGGGAGACAACTATCCAATTGCCCAGGGATCCTGTTACTCATTAGCCAGAGCAAGCAGGGAGCAAACACTAGCACACATTGCTTGCAACAGCTTTATTCAGAATGGAGACAGCTTTGGACTAGCTCCCAAAAAACAGACAAATCGGGGAGCAGCCCCGAACGATAGTTTTTTCCACATTTATACAGCTTGGTTCATACATATTAACATTCACCCCACCTATGTCCCTTCTTCAGTTCCACCCATTTCTCCTCCCATCTCAAGCTCTGCCTCTATTTACTGTTTGCTTCCTTAGCATGGTATTGCCTATGCATTTCATTCATTTACATGTCTCTGCTACAAGCGCATGCATAAGACTTTGACCTTCGCTTCTTTTGGTCACTTGCGGTTTCTCACTGGTTCTTTCTAGTTTTCTTGCTGACTTCAGCACCATCTCCAAGGCCATATTTCTGCTTTGTCTCCTGACCAGAGCTGGTGGGCCGCATTCTAGTTTTACCCAACACATCATGCACTTTGCACCCTATCCTTTGTTAAGAATCTGCTTACTTAAGCATTAGCCAAGTTAGTTGCTTTTAATATATCATCCAGCCTTGTGACCAGCAGCTTTTGCTGAGACACCGGAAAAAACTTTTATCAGCTGCACACCCAGCACTCCCCAAAATCTAGTTTGTTACCCCAACACCCAAAATTCGCTGATAAAACCCCCAAAATCCATGATTAAAATAACCCCCCCATCTCCCCTGGCCCTACTGGTGTCCTTCACTCCACCCTCCACACCTCCCCCAGGCCTGCTGGTGCCCCTCACTCCCACCCCAGAGCCCTGCTGGTGCCCCTCCTCCCACCCACAGCCCCTGCTCCCCCAGACCTGCCAGAGGAGGGGCTATGGGCCCAGGGTCTTGGGTTTACAGCCCCTTTCCCTGGCAGGAAGCGGCAGCTGTTGCAGCAGATCAGAACCCACCGACCCCCCACCCCCTCAGCTGCTTGCTGCCTGCCTGCTGTGGGCTCAGACAGTGGGGGCAGCTCCCTGCCGCTGTGTGCACTCCCAGGGGGTAGGGGGGAATCCATGCCCCCCAGATCTCCCCCAGGGAGGGTGCATGCTGCCTGCCTGCTGCAGGCTCAGGCTCTTGCCCTGCTGTCCTTCCCCAGGGCTTCTGCAGCCCAGTGGGTGTGACCCAGTGCTGCAGGGCAGAGCAGGAGCCACGCAGGAACGCTGCTTGCCATTGCAAGCTCTGCGCTGTGCTGATGCTGCGTCCCCTGTGCGCAGCAGCAGTGGGGGCAGTAGCACAGGATTGTGTCCCTCACTGCTGTTGTGTGCACAGGGGATGCATCACCAGGGCAGCACAGAGCATACAGAGGCAATCAACTTCCATATGCGACCCTGCTCTGCCCTGCAGCACCAGGTTGCACTGGCTGGGCTGTGGAGGCCACAGCTGACGGCAGCAGAGTGGGAGCCCAAGCCTCAGGAGGCAGCCCACACCTGTCCCTGCTCCATGCACAAATCTGGGGGGCACAGGTCTCTCCTGCACCCCCGGGAGGGTGTGCAGTGGTGGGGAGCCAGCCCCTGCCTCCCACCCCTCAAACAAGGCATCTGTGGCCCCATTCCACTGCTCGCTGGGGCCCTGAGGCTGTGCATTACAGCCCCAGGCCCCAAGCCCCACACGTGGCCTGGCTGGGCAGCAGCCCCAGCCCTCCCAACTCCCTCCCTATAGGGGCCTCAATCCCCCCTGGCACTTATGTGCAGGAGTTGCTCTCCAGACTCTCTGGCAGCCATGTGCATGTACTTGTACATGGCGTCCTGTGCCTGACTGCCCTCCTCTGGCTCCCTCCCACCCCTTGGAGGCTGCAACGCTGCCAGTCTGCAGAGGGCTCGTTGCAACACTGGAAAATCCACAGGTTTCTCTGCTAAAATGAGAAATCCGCTTTTTACTCTGGTAAGGGGGGAAATCCCCATTTTACTGTTTTTCCATGGGAAATGAAAAATCTGGATCCCTGGTGATAAGATATAGCCCCAAGTGTCTGTTGAGTGGAACTTGCTCTAGGCTGACAGGTCCCTTCCTACTAAGTTCTAATTTACAGTGCTCCAATATTTGCCTTGTTTTTCCTGTGGTAAAACACCATCAACAGACTTTCTTGCTGTGATCTAGGTGCAGTGTATTGCCTCCCTGCATGGCCCAGATGGTGTGCAAGTGGCTACTGCAGACTCCTGGGGTCTGTAACAGTCTTAGGCTGGAGGCAGCAGGGTTGGAGGAAATGCCTCACACTGCTGCTGTCTCTTTAAGTCTTGTATTACTTTTCCTGGCTCCCTCCTAAGTCTGTAGGCAGGGAGCCAGAAACTCACAAGGAGCCGGAAACTCACAGCAATCCATCTTGAAACATACTGAGCAGAGGGGGGGGGGCCAAAGCTGCCCAGAGACCAAGGCCAGGGGCCGGCTGGGCTGTGTGTTCTTAGAGGCGATGGATGTGCTGGGGGCCATGTGGGGGCTTCTGCTCCTGTTGCTCTCAGTTTCCCTCCTGGCTTTCAGCTTTTACTGCTGCTACCTGAAATTCATCCACATGAAATATGATCACATCCCAGGACCCCCAAGAGAGAGGTAAGGAGGAAGCCAGCTTCCCCAGGACCCCTGCACAAATGGGGCTGCTGGAGGTCTGGTGTTTTTGTTTCAAGAACCTGAATAGGGGCTTATCTGTGTGTCAGTCTTGGTGTCTGTCCCCCTGGGGCTGGTCAGAGTTGTATACTAGGGCTGTGCAAAGCTTTGGTCCGATTTGGTTCGGCAGAGATTCGACCCGATTCAATGGCCGAATCTCCGAATCCGAACTGAATCAGAGGACCCTTTAATCTCTCCAAATTGAATTGGAACCCTCCAAATCAATTCAGAAAGATTCAACGATTCGGACATAGACGCAGCTTTATAAGTTTTTTCTACATACCTCGAGGTATCAGGCAGCTCGTGAACACTGAAATGCTGGGGCGCATAGAGTGTCTCACAGGAGCATGGGAGGCTCTCCAACATGCTCGGCAGCAGACCCAGAAGTGGACCAGAAGCACTTCCAGTCCAATTCCGGGTCTACTGAGGAGCGTGCGGGGGGCCCTCCCGTGGACTGCAAGTACTTCCGGGTCTGCCGGGGAGCACGCAGGGTGCCCCTGTGCACTCCCGTGGGATGCTCCATCCACCCCAGCTTCACAGCGTTCACGAGCCGTGCCTAGTACCTCAAGGTATGTAGAAAAAATATTTAAAGCTGTGTCTATGGCTGAATCACTGATTCTCTGAATCGGCATCAAATCTTCAGACTCAGATTCAGCCAAATTGAATCAGGGACAACGATCCGAATCAATAAATCAAATCACTGCCCCTGATTTGAGCCGAATCCATAACGAATAGGGCCTGCGTTGCACACCCCTATTGTACATTGTGCCCCAGGCTGGCTGTCAGGACTTACCAGCTGGCTTCTGAATATCACAATAACTTCATATAAAATGGTTATGCCAGTTCTGAGCAGAGAGACAACTCACTTCCCAGGGTCAAGTGTGATAACCTGAGAACCTATGGAAGTGATACTCATGGTCCAGATAAAATCCTGGCTCTGCTGAAGTCATTAGGAGTTTCACCCTTGGCTTCTATGGTGTCAGAATTTGTTCTTTCATATAGGGGAAAACCCAGTGTAAAGGTACTTCATGTCTGCCATTGCCACAATTTGGATTGTGCTAAATGTAGGATTTGAGATATATGAAGCAGGGTGAATTAGGAGCTTCCAAAGGGCAAACAGTTAATGAAATCAGTAATTTTTTAGTTATGTGACTTTATCACTGTTTTGCAGGCAGGGAAACTGTGACACAGAGATGAAGGCAAGGACTTGTCCCGGGTCAGAGCCCATGTTAGGACTGGCACTGAACTGCTGGGCTCTTGACTCCTACACTTGTGCTCCCACCAGCAGATCATATATTTTCCTCTTCATGCAGAATGTGTTGATATAATCCGGGCTCATGTGAGAAGCAGGGTTTGTTTACTAACTTCTCTTATTGGACTAATTACATCATTGGGAGAGATATTAGACAAATTGAAGGCCATTCTGTATACATCTACATGTGCGCTTTACTGTGGAGTTGACTAATTAGCCGCATAGTAAAGTGTCACTGTCTACACTTGTGCCAATATTACAGCTTAATAAATTATTTAATTAATTCCTGTTGGGGACAGTGCTATCTTACAGCAGGGTAAATAAGGGTGTGTCAGGGCTGCTTGCTGCATGGCTCTGGACTTTAGCAGTCTCATGTCCCAGCTAATCCCTCTATTGCCCAACACTGGCACCTGAAAACTAGGGCTTGTCCCCTGAGCCTGTTGCCAGCCCAGGACTGCTCTGCCCCAGCTCAACCTGCTACTGTCCTAGGCTCATGTGCAGACACTGCACCCAGGAGCAGCTGACACCAGCGCAAACAGCTCCAGAGTTTATTGTGTCACATTAATTGAACATATAGATGCACCCTTTGGGTGCATCCAGATGAGCGCGGACATTTGTTTCCCCAGGCACACCTTGTGCCGTTGCTACTTGTCCCTGGGAAACACTGGGGACGAGACAGTTGTTACATAATACAGACAGTTATTTCACATCAAGGGCTGCGTGGTAAGTCCCTGACTTCTTTTAATTTACTGTAATTATTTCCTTTGTCCATAATCTTACAGAGTTACCATATACTACCTTACTAAAAAATCTGGTATAAATGATTTTCCTGATATTTATGGTATGGTTCAGACAGCCTCTGTCACTGACATATTTGAGCACCTCATAATTATTAATGTGTTTATTCTCACAGCATCCATGGAAAGAAAGCAGGTGTCCCCATTTTACAGTTGGAGAAATAAGGCCCAGAGAAAGTATAAGTGACTAGCCCATGGTCACGCAAGAAATTCTGCACAAATGTTCCTTCTACTCCTCCTACCACCAGCAGGTCTAGCAGTGCTGAGAAATTTTGAAGGAAAATACTTGCATTGAAGACAAGAGACATTGAATTAGCCATATGCAAAGGGAACTAAGGGTTGAACCTTGCTACTAACAGGTTTTTAGTGGTTTAGCTAGAGGAGGACTGGTTTGCTAATAGTTGATAACATGTCTCATATCCTCTTTGGTCCAGTTATAAGAAGGGAGCTTCATTCAAACACACAAAAGAATTAAGAAAACTTGTATTATAGATTATTAGGTAATATTGTTGAGTACTTCATATTTTTAAGTACCTAAAAGAATCTCAGGTAAAGAAAGGAAATTTCAGCATTACTTGTTCGTTCAGAAGAGAACAACAGCAAGGTTATCTGTCTTAGGTGGAAAACAGATCTCCTTAAGCACAGCTTGCTGGCTTTTAGCAAAATTGCAACAGGAAACTTTCAGATACATGCAAAGGTGGTGGGAATATCCAGCTTGTCTCTGAAGGAAAGTGACCTGTGTCTTTTAAATAAAGATGATGCATTTATTCCTTTCTGTAATTTCCATATTAGCTAGTGCCTTCCCTTATAGGATTTCTTCCTTATTTCACCGTTCGGGTGACTACAAATACGTAGATTTCACTGGAAAAGGGCTGATTATGGTCACCCCTACCCCAGCTTAATGCCAGTGTCCTACTGTCATTACTAATTTACCACCACGTACAAAATATCTCTCTCATATAGTTACAGCATAGATTCGAGTACTGAAAGGCACAGAAACCTTGTAAGATAACGGCTGTTCATTGGACACTAGGGCAGTTACTGTCCACACACCCAAGTGTTTCAAATACTTACACAGACAAAAGACTCTCTCAACTTACTGGCCAGCAAAGGCTGTCTTTTAAATCTGTATACATTGACCTTCACAAATGCACAGAGCTCTGTGGAATGATTGATGGAGTCCTGCCTTGTAACGGGTGTGGAGGATTGGGGTGGGGCTTTTGGGCAGGGCTGTGGGTTGTTGGAAGGAGAATACAAATGATGCATGTAGCCCATCAACAGAAACCAGAACAATGAAGCTAAGTAAATTCAGCCATAGTATACAAGCGTTATGGACTATCCACTCAGAAATCTACATGGTATGCATACCATCTTACTGGTTTCATTATCCTTTGTCAAACATTTCAAAGCTCATTTCAAACGCCAATAAACATCTGCATTGTTACAAAAATGAGAGCAATGTATATGGTACATGGTATAGATAGATAGATAGATAGATAGATAGATAGATAGATAGATCACAGGGAAGCAGGTGCACCAGAAGTCTCTGCGGTGTATGTCACCTCATGCAGCAGGGAATGCCAGATCCCCTGAGGCTACGGGAGTTGAAACTGCACATTCTTCTAGGTAATTTCTGACCTTAAAAATCACTATTTTATTTGGTTTGCTGTATTTCCTTCCAAGCCATAATGCTGCATCCTTACGACTTGACTAAGCTCTAGCTTTGTTCTCTCTAGCTTTGTACTTGGACACCTGCCAATTTTATGGAACATACAAAGGAAAAATGGGCTGTTGCATGGACTCTTCATGCAATGGTGAGTTGTAACACCTCAGGATTGAACGAGGCCATGTATAACCGGGTATTACACACAAGAAAGAAACTTGCTTTTATCATTAAGTGCATATCGCCAATTGGGAAGTTGAGGCAGAGAGAGATAAAAAGCTAAATCTGAATGCGACCACATAACTACAGGGTTAGGCAATTACACACATTGGGGGATTCTGTTGTGCCTTGCACCAAGACAGAATGCCCCTACAGGCATACCTGCTGAGAACGGCCCTCTTGTCTTAGTCCAACTGTTTGGGCATTTTTCCAGGAAGAAGCAGCTCTAGGTTTTAGGCCTCTCAGTCACAGTGGGTTTGAACCTAGTTTCATAGTTTCATAGTAGGTAGGGTCGGAAGGGACCTCAGCAGATCATCAAGTCTGACCCCCTGCTCTGGGCAGGAAAGAGTACAGGGGTCCAACAACCTCGGCAAGGTGATTAGCTAGCCTCACTTTGAAGACCCCCAGAGTAGGAGCCAGCACCACTTCCCTTGGAAGTTGGTTCCAGATCCTAGCTGCCCTGACTGTGAAGTAGCGCCTCCTGATGTCTAGTCTGAACCTACTCCCAGTCAACTTATGACCGTTATTTCTAGTCACACACAGGGACTCTCCCAATGCCTGCTGGTCCCCCCTGACTAGTTTGTAACAGGCCACTAGATCCCCCCTCAGCCTTCTCTTGTGGAGGCTGAACAGGTTCAGGTCCCGTAGCCTCTCCTCGTAGGGCCTGCCCTGCTGCCCCCGATCATGCGAGTGGCCCTCCTCTGGACCCTCTCCATGTTGT